TATAAAAGCAAATGATAATAATAATAATTATAATTAATAGCTAAGCACCTATATGTAGAAAATACTAGTTCTATTATTATAATTGAATCGGTTATTTGGAAAAGGGAATATGTCCAGAAATTCTAATTTTACAGGAGAGACAAAAAATTAATTTTCTCAACAATGATCGATTTTTCGAGACTTCAAAATGTATATTAATATTCCAAATGTAGCATCTCTTTACCTACATTAGAACCAAATTTTTTTTCAAAATCCAGTTATAAAAAAAAAAAAAGTTGACATGTTACCTTTTCCAAATAAATAAATTGATTTTTGATATTTTGTTTGTTATTATTTTATTAATTTTTTTTTTTTATTTATTTAATATTAAGATAACTCTTGAAAACAAAATATAATCATAAGTGATGGTTATAGTTATAATATATTGACAAATTATAAGGTGTCAAAAAAAAAATAATAATAATACATTGTTTTATTATAATATGAACAAACTTGTGAAAACGAAATATATCCGCGTGTTGACCCGCCAGCTGTTACTACAAAAACACGCGGATATATTTCGTTTTCACACCAAATAATGAGTTCATGAACAAATAACATAGTTACGTAAAAATATGAAAATGTCAAAATATTGGACATGTTCCCTTTTCCAAATAACCGATATAATTATTTTATGTTATTTTTTTAATTCGTAGGACTACTGAATGTAAAAAAGTACCCTTGGTTGGTCGAAGGATAGTAGACATTTTTCACATATTTGAACAAATTAGAATGTTTCGACATGAAAGTGGTTTCGATTGTACATTCAGTGATATGGAATATGTTTCAGAAAAATTGAATGGCTATTTTTCTACATTTGAATTCAAGTGTAAGATGTGTGGTATTAAAATGCGTATTTCGTCAGAAAATATAAAAGCTGACTATTTGACTATAAATAAAGCGGTTTTAAATGGCACTGTTGCAATTGGTAATTTTTTTATAATTTTTAATTAAAATGTTTAATTTTTAGAAGAGGGTACAACATATTTTTTAGATTCTGAGTGAAACGATGAATGTATTTATTTTACAATGATGTGTGTTATTTTTTATTTTAAAATCTAATACAAGATTCCTCATAAGTTTGTCTACCTTTATCAACAAAAAAAATGTCTACAAGAAAGTCCAATTAAATTTTTATGTGCGTTTGAAATTCATATTTTTACAACATTTGTTATTCACTCGATTTCTCATGTAACGATTTTCTTATTTTGTTGTAATTAAAAAACGAATGACTGTAGAGTGTAGATACTTGAAAATTTCACTGAATGTTTATATTAGTATTTTCTATACACGATAAAATTTTGAAAATAATTTGACTTTTTTTGAGCTGTTTACGGACATTGTCAGTTTTCAATTTTTTTAGTTTTTTTTTCTATAAATATCTATAAAATTTTATTTGTTGGGTAAAAAAGCGTTAAAATTTAATGCAAGGCACCTGATATAATGTTACAATATCAGTTGAAAAATATTTAAAATACATAGGCACAATTTTTTTTTATAAGCATGTTAAGTTCGAATTTTAACAAAATTTATCACATTTAAAATTTAATAATTATTTTGTAGTTAAAAATTTATAAAATATTCAACTTTTATAGCTAAGGATTGAAAATTTAAAACAAGGTTCCTTGTAAATAGGTTATTTATAAATTACTTTATTCACAATAATATCATCAAATATACTTTCGCTCAGAATCGTATTTCTTATACAATGATATTATATCATTGAATTCAAATTTAACACCATCCATTACAGTGACCCACATGTAACATACTGTACAGCAGAATGACATCCACTTACCTACTTTTTTTGTTTTCAAATTATATAACTTAGGCATTGGACAAAGACAATTGACAGAATTTTCAGCTGCATTAGAAATGCCTTCTATGGCTAATACGACGTATTCAAGAGTACACAAATCGATGCATTCTAGTATCCACGACAGTGCTTGGACAGAAATGTTAAAAGCTGGCGAGGAAGAGAGGAGGTTAGCAATTGAAGATGGAGACGTCGATGAAGATGGAAATGCTCTATGTACTGTGGTAGCAGATGGCCAATGGGGTATAAGGAGCTACAAGTCGAAATACGACGCACTATCTGGAGTGGTATGATATTTTAATTTTTAAGCTCACTTTAAATTTTAAATGGGCTGAAAGTTGATAAATAATTTTTCTATTAGGCAACTATTATAGGATATAGGACAAAAAAAGTATTATTCGTAGGGATTCGAAATCGATATTGTGTCGTATGTCATCGCGCAGCTTTAAAACAAATTGAAAAGCCTAAACATAGCTGTTTTAAAAACTGGAATAAATCGGCTACCAGTATTGAAGCTGATGGTGTAGTAGAATGATTTCAAAAAAGTATTGAAATGCACAATTTGAAGTATAACAAATTAATCGGTACCTATATGTTTATTTTTATTTTATTACTATATATTATAATTCCTAGTTTATTATTACAAACAAATTTTATTAAATTATAGTATTATACTATTATACTTATTATATTATTTAGGCGATGGAGCCAGTAGTGTCACTAAACGTCTCAACGAAGTTTTACCGTATGGTCCTAATTTTTTAATACAGAGAATCGAATGTAGAAACCATTTATTGAGAAATTATTGCCAAAAACTTACTGCTGCTGCAAAAAAATGTATATATCCTATAAATGTACGTAGATATATTTTATCAAATATCATGAGGTTTAGGACTGGTATTGTAACAGCTATTAAGTATAGAAAAAAGGAGAATAAGTCTACAACGCAACAAGCTTCAGGTTTTTTTTTTATTAATATTTTTATTTACTATAAATCAGTAAAATTATATACATCTTATCTATAATATTATATTTGATTTTTCGTACACTTTAAGATTTGGCAAATGATATAATGAACAGTCCGTATCACATATTAGGAGAACATAAGAAGTGTGACAAATATTTTTGTAAAGGATCTAAAACAGGTGATCAAAATGTAGTTTCCATCGCTGAAAACTGTGGTTTAATGAGGGAAATTAATATGGCTAATCGGCGTTTATACAACAATGCTCAGAGTCTCTTAAAAAATGTTGACAATAATATATGTGAGCAATTTAATAGCATGATTAACAAATACATTGGTGGCAAAAGAACAAATTTGTCTCAAAAACACATATAATACGAGAGTAGAGGCAGCTGTGATTGCATTTAATTCACAATCGTATTTACGCACAATTCATAAATCTATAACCAATGCAAGTCCAGGTAATTTTAAAACTAAATGTAGTATACCTATATCATAACCTGAAAGATTATGAAAAACAATTGGAATAAAACGTGGATTTTGATAATTAAGATTACAGATAGAATGTGCTGCACCTCTATATTCTCCAGTTAAATGGTTATGATCCCGAACTTTTCGCATATTTTTATTTTTATTTTCTAATTCTTTTTTAAGTTTATCTTCATAAAATTTAAAATTTTTTTTATAATATTTAATAGGGTCTTTAATTTTTTTAAGTTTATCTTCATACAATTTTAATTTTTTAACATCATCAGTCTTTTTATAATATTTAATAGAGTCTTTAATTATTTCAAGTTTATCTTCATAATATTTAATTTTTTTAACATCAGTATTTTTATAATATTTAATATTGTCTTTAATTATTTTATATTCATCTTCAATCCTTTTTTTAATTTTTAACATCATCAGTATTTTTATAATATTCAATATTGTCTTTAATTATTTTAAGTTCATCTTCATACAATTTAAAGTTTTTAACATCATTTTTTTTATAATATTCAATAGTGTCTTTACTTATTTTAATTTTTTTCTCTAACATTGGAGGTAAATCTGATAAATATCTTTCACAAATATGACATTTATCAGATTTATAATAATAATTATTTAATTGTTCTACATTCAATGTTTTCATAGGAACTATTTTATCATATATTTTAGAAATAAGTTTTTTTTCATTTTTCAAACATTCATAAAATTCTTGAGCAACGTTTGGACCAGAATATGTTACAGGAGGTTTATAATCACCATTACTATATTTAATATAATAACAAAAATTATTAGGTATATGTTTCTGATAACAATTAGTAAAAGACTCTGTATCATTTGGTTGACAAGTATATATTGGTTTAAGAGTACATTCATAGTCAGCAAAAACCACAAAAGGTACTCTTAAGGAATGATTATAATTTCGAAATTCTAAAGTTTTATTATAGAGTTCTGGTAGAACTATTTTAGCAGCTTTATTATTAGCACAATAATGTTTATGATCATTTAACTTATTTTCTGTATCAAAACTATTTAAACACATTTTACACAAAAATCTTTTATGACCATTTTTTGTAACTTGTCTTCCTACTACTTTCCATAAACTTTAATCCAACAATAATGTCCTTTATTCACATTATTATCCTC